GCTTTGACAGTTGGCGCTTTCTGGCATACAGATCTCTGGCAAAGACTTTGGAGCCTTGGTTCCGCTCGATCGCTTCTTCAATACGAGCTGTATTGAATTTGCGTAAGTCCCGCCGCATGCATTTGGAGATCTGTCTGTTCAGTTGCCTGTATGCTGTTAAATCTGTTGAAGAATGTAGCTTCATCTCCCGTCTAACAGCCATGAGATTAAGAGTGTGATCGGAGAGTTTTTGTGTTCTTCTGCGGCGGGTCTTGCAGAACTTAGCTCCGACCGCATGGACAGTTTCCACGAGCTTGTCATTCAAATCGTCCACTTCATTGCAGTCTTCTAGGCACTGAAAACGGTTTTGTAACTCGAGCTGAAAGGTTTCGGGACTTTGGATTAGAGCACGAGGGGGACGGAGCGTTGACTTCATTAGACGAGACCTCTCCAACTTAACGTTTAGGTTCAGTGTGCCTCTAACCATTCGGTGATCGCTGCCGGTTTTCACCCTCGCGATCACTGAGACATCACTGAACAGTTGTCGTCTGGTCGTCATAATGAAGTCAATCTCATTTTTTGTCGAACCGTCGGGGCTCGACCAGGTCCACTTCCTGTGGGGCCGCTTCTGGAAGAAAGAGTTCATCATAAAGAGTCCCTCTTTCTCCATGAAGTCGGCCAGCTGCTGGCCCCTTGGGTTCCGTTGCCCTATTCCAAATTTCCCTACTTTCAGCTCACCGTTCTCTCTTGTGCCTAGTTTTGCATTGAAGTCTCCCATTAACACCGTATATTGGGTTTTGGAGGAATGCATGGCTCTAGAGATATCCTCATACATTTCCTCCACCTCCTGATCGGGGTGTGCCGAGGTTGGTGCGTAAACCTGTATGACCTTCAGCGAATACCGTTTGGTGATTCTGAGTATAAGGTACGCAACCCTCGTCGACACACTCTCAATCTTTACAACGTTGTTAACGAGAGACTTGTGGACGATAAATCCGACACCTCCTTGGGACAGATGGTCGCCCTCCCGGTAATAGAGCAAGTTGCCGGATTCGAGGATTACCGTGTCCTCCCCCTCTCTTCGGACTTCGGATAATCCTATAATATGCCAGCGTAACTGGTCTATCTCTTCTTCCAGCTCCACAATCTTCTCGTCAGTCCTCAGGGTGCGTGCGTTGTATGTTGCCAGGTCGAGTCGTCGTAGGTGGCAACCGAACCTCCACCGGAGATTCTTAGCACCCCCTGCCCCGCCGTTACCATGGTCGCCACCGTAGCCAGGAATAGCGGGGCCGCCGGGGACTGGGGGCCGTTTATTATTGTCATTGCTCATGGGGGGTATATTGCCATAGTTGCCACGCTTGGCGAGCGGGTTGGCAACCGCAGTTTTTTTATTGTTATTTTGGCTATTATCAGGAAGATGCTGCTGCCCATCTCCTGCCTGTTTCCCTTTGTCGCCTTTTACGACACCCACGGGAAGATATGGGGTAGTGGATATTCTTAACCGCCACTACACGGCGTAATATATATATAAATATATAATTGAAGTTCTATTTGATTGAGAGATTGAAAACGTTGCTATAAAGTGATTTCATGATGGATAAATCTGTATCAGATACGGAAATAAACTTTTTGTCCACTAGCAACAAGACACCACCTAACTATGTATTTCAACGAACCAAGAGGACTCGAGAAGAAATGGCTGATTCTGTTACTAATCACTTGGCTGATTTCAAAGAAGAAATTATGAAAATTATGTCACTCTTTACAACAAAACAAGAAAATGAATTTCAAAAAATTAACTCTACATTGAAAGAAATTCAGCAGACAAATATTAATAAAGAAAGCACGATTGCTTTTTTAGCTGCTCAAAATTAAGACTTTAAAAAGAAAATTGATCTGATTGAGGAAGATAAGAAATATATCACAATTTCGGAAAACAAAATTGAGGAAATTCAAATGGGAAACCGGAAAAGTAATATTGAAATAAAAAATGTTCCAAAGAAAAATAATGAAACAAAAGAAGACCTAATTGATATGGTTGTGAATCTAACACAAAACATTGGTTGTAAGGTTGATAAATTAGATATAAAGAATATTTATAGAGTACGTGGCAAAAAATCTGAAAAAATAAATACACCAATTGTTGTATAAACTGGTTCTACGATCCTTAAAACTGAAATCTTAAAAATGGGTAAAGCTTTTAACATTAAAAACAAAAGTAAGCTGTGTGCTAAGCATCTGGGTTTTAAAGTACAGGAAGACACACCTGTCTTTTTATCAGAGCACCTTACTTTGAAAGGGTCTCGCCTACACTTCCTTGCCAGAGACCTGGTTAAGTCTAAAGCATACAAGTTCGGTTGGACCGCATATGGCAGAGTATACGTAAGAAAAGACGAATTTTCTCCTATAATCACCATTAGAAGCGAGGCACAGGTACAACAACTTCTTTAAGATAAATGACAAGCCCTATTGATACATTTTCTCTTAACAAATCTAAAATTAATTTGTTTCTTATATCCCTTTAATTGTTCGTTAATGTTAAAATTCTGTTTAATTAGTACAATGTTGCTCTTTCAGTTAATATTTTTGTCAAAATTAATAAATTTTGCAAATGTTACTAACACCTCTTGTATTTACACACACTTTAATAACACTATTATGTATACTCTACACATATTAAATACACTATTAAGAATACACAATGTAAAAGAGAACTTAATCCAGCGTAACGACATAAGTATCAATAAAACTAGAAATATATTAGTAACTCAACCTCACATATTTTATTCAGTATCAGAAAATACATCTATATCAGTTAGATTATTAAATGAGTGAGACCTTACAAAATATAGAAGAAATAGACAACTTAAAAATAGCACGTAATATTGAATGTGACACTTTAGAGCTTGCTACCCATTTTCAAGTAAAACAAAATGACTTGAATATTATCTCACAAAATATAAGAAGTATCTATAGTAACTACAATGACTTTATATTAACGTTATCTAGCTTCGATTTTAAATTAGATGTAATTGTTTTAACTGAATGCAGACTAGACAGTAACAAGCCTATCCCACAACTAACAGACTACCACACCTACTCTACTACTTACCAGCTAAACCAGAATGATGGGGTTACAGTTTATGTAAATACTTTATTAAAAAATAAAGTAAAAGAGATAAAACTGGCACAGGCAACTTGTATTCAAGTAGATATTTCAAATAATTTACTTTTATGTATCTATCGATCGCCATCAAATACAAATATAGATAATTTTTTAATTTCTCTTAAAGCACATCATGAGACAATATCGATGCATAAAAATATAATAATAACTGGTGACATAAATATCAATATTAGACCTAAAAATACGGAGCTATCTCAAGAATACAGGAATAGAATGAGCTATCTCAACATGTTGGCAGAATTTGGAATACTTCCGGGACATATGCTATCCACAAGGAAACACAACCGTTTGGATCATTTTATGCTCAAAACAGACAGTAAAAAAGATTCGGCTTTCATTGAAATTATACATACCACCATTACAGACCATTTTACTACGTTTCTATGTCTATCCAAAATTAAATATAATCGAATTGCAAATAAAACTAAATCTATACTTGACTACGAAAAAGCTCGAAAATATCTACAGGAAAATAATCTAGCTGAGTTATTAGAATGATATGACCCTAATGTATTAACTGACCGACCTTCTTTTGCAAAATATAACTAATTCTATAAAAAACAATATTATTATTATTAAAATTCCAAAGAGTAAACGTATTATAAAACCATGGACACTACTGGTATACTTAAGTGCATAAATAATAGAAATAAATTACAGAAGAACTTAAAAAATGACCCACACAATGAAATTTTAAAAATAAACTACTTAAGATACAGAAATTACAGCAATAATCTAGTCGTCTGTCGTTAGTCGTAAGTGCTACACGCTTTTGTAATGAGTAAATCGGATTACTTCAAAGTACCCACAATGTCCAAATGTGATATCTGTAAAAAATCATTTACAAAATCTCTTCCCGGATTGGAGTGTAGTAAGTGTGAAAAAATTGTGCATCTTAACACGAAATGCAGTGGCTTGACAAACAAACAAATCGCAGCACTGAAAGCGGCCTCCAGCTTGGAATGGACTTGCCTTGATTGTCAGCAGGAATCACCGAGACGGAACTCATCTATTGTAATCCCGGAAGAAGACGACGAAGAAGATGATAAACGCGTCTTAATAAACTCCAAAAACTTGCTGAGTTCAATAAGCAAGGAAGTCGAAAAAGCAATAAAAAGTGAAATGCGGGAACTGAACGAGTCTCTACAGTTTCATAGTGCTAAGCTAGAAGAAGTGGTCGAATGTATAGATGCATTTAAACAAACCATTAAAGTTCTAGAACGAAAAAACGTAGAGCTTACTAATAAGAACAAGAATTTGGAAACGCGGGTAGGTGCCCTTGAACAGCAACTGCAAGAATTAGAGCAAGAAAAACTTACGAATTGCATAGAAATATCAAATGTTCCCTACCAGCCTACCGAAAATGTCAAAAAACTGGTGGAAAGCATCGCTCTGAAACTACAACAGCCCCTCGAAGGAATAAAAAGTATTCGAAGACTTCCTGGAAAAAAAGACCATCCGGCGAACATAAAGGTAGAATTTCAAGACGAGCTTTTACAAGAGAAATGGATATCAGCAGCAAAATCCACTAAGACTACCGTAGCAGATATCTATCCTACAGAAAAGAACAGCAATAATGTCGTGTACATCAGAGAAGCAATGACAAAAAATAATAAAATTATATTGTGGCAGGCGAAGCAGGATTTAAAAAATAACCAGAATTATAAGTATGTATGGTTTAAGAAGGGATATGTAAAGGCACGTAAGGATGACAGTTCAAAAATTTACACATTGAAAACCCTGCATGATCTAAATGTTCTAACTAAGCTTTCTTAAATTTGTACTTATCTATACACCTAGCCGTAAGGTCTAAATTCATTTTATAATTTGAATTATGTTAGATGAAATTTGTGAGATATCTGACTGTCTTAATATAAATCAATTTCTAAACGATATTCCTAATTACCATGTTAATCTATTGTGCATTCATTTTAATATCAGATCCCTAATTAAAAATTTCGCAGCACTTGAACAATGCATAATAACGTCAAATAAACCTATAGATGTCGTAATTCTAACTGAAGTTAATGTAATGGATAATACTAGCTGTTTGTTTCATATCAATGGCTATCAAATGTTTACTGCGTTAAGAAAATCTAGAAGGGGTGGCGGTATAATCATTTACGTCAGTAACAAACACAAATGCAACATAAAAACTATAAAAACAAAACACTTTGAAAACTTATTACTAACAATCACCACTAACTCAAATTACATTACGAATATATGTGCCGTATACCGCCCTCCCAGCTCGAGTAAAAACCTTTTTATTGACGAACTCCTAAACCTAATCGACAATTACTCTTGTGACACAGATTTATACTTACTAGGCGATATAAACATTGATCTGAAATTAGACAATCCTGCAAAACATAAATACAACAACATGTTACACAGCCTAGGTCTTTTGTGCGGGATCACAGCATATACAAGGATCGAATTAAGTAATGGAAGGCTAAGTAAAAGCTGCATAGATCACATTTACGCACGATCCCGTACACAAGACCTATACACAGCGGCAATCGGTACGACACTGGCCGACCATCGGGCGGTTATAATAGCCTGCGTCGGACCACGAACACAGGCTGTCCCAACATATAAAATATGTTTAAATAATAAAAAATTGAATTCACTATTAGAAGAGATAGATTGGACGCCCACTTACGACATGACCTGCCCTTTAAATATTTACAACTATATTTATACAAAATTTACAGAATGCTATAAAAAATCAGAATATTCAATCAAAATTAATACTAAAATTACGCGAATTAATAACGACTGGATAAATAATAAAATCATCAAAGCCTGTGAGTATAGGGACAATTTATTTTTTCAATGGATAAAAAATACAAATAATATGATTTTAAAACTAAAATACAATAAAGCTAGAAACAATGCCAATGCATTGATTCAAAAAACTAAAAACAAAAACACTAAGTCAGAAATAATATCCAACAAAAACAATACTAAAAATTTGTGGTCTATCTTAAATAGATTAACGGGTAGAATAAAATCGTCTATAGATGACGGCTTAGAACGCTCTTTTGGCAACAATAACAATTCATCGAAAGACGTTGCAAATAAATTCGCTGTCACATTCAATAATAGTGTCAAACAAATAATATCAAAATGTCCCGAACCATTGCTCGACAAAAAAACCTATGCAGTATCAGCAAATGTGAGTATGAGATTTAGGTCTGCAGAACCCAAATCAATAACAAAAATACTAAAATCTCTTAATAGTAACAAAGCTCCTGGAGTAGATAGGATAAGAGCCATTGATGTAAAAAAGATGTGTGACAAAATTTCATTAACCATTGCTAAACTTATAAACGCATGCATTCTCACTGGCAAATACCCAAAATTACTAAAGACCGGCATTGTGAGACCAATTCATAAAAAAGGTAGCCAGGTGGACTACCTCAACTATAGACCAATAACCATATTGCCTACGATCAACAAAGTAGTAGAAAAATATGTAGGAACTCAAATACAACACTTTTATGCCAATAATAGTATACTAACTTGCAACCAATACGGATTTCAACCACATAAAAGCACGACTCAACTGCTATCTACTTTCACTGACAGTATTTATAACCACTTAGATAAAAAAGAGCATATATTGGTCGTCTTCGTTGACTATAGTAGGGCATTTGATACTCTCAGACATGACAAGCTTCTACAAAGCTTGAACGACAGTGGGGTCAGAGGTAATCTACTAACTTGGTGCGAAAACTACTTACATGATAGAAGCTACCAAGTTAGGATCAGTAATGTAGATAGTTTCTCAGTTTTAGTAACCGAAGGTACTGCCCAAGGCTCCGTCTTAGGACCCTTACATTACCTCACCTACGTAAATAATCTCTCAAATGCAATAAAACAGTGTGAGTTGTACCAGTTTGCGGACGACACATGTCTAGTTGCCACAGGACGAAACATCGAAGATGCCCTTACTCGACTTCAAAGCGATTTTGACATATTAGTGAAATGGTCTCATGATGTTGGACTTGTACTTAATTCCAATAAAACGAAACTAATTTACATCAGCTCTAGTAAAAACAGAAGCACTTTTAGATTAAAACTTATAGCACACAACCATCAATGTCTACATTTAAAACAATCAAATAACACTCAATGTAACTGTGACACCATAGAACAAGTAAGTAAATATACATACCTTGGACTCGTAATCGACGATCGGCTAAACTGGAAGGAGCATATTAACCATGTGAGTGACAAATTAAGGGTAATATTAGCCAAATTCTCAATTATAAAATCTAAAATACCTTATAAAACACTTCTACTACTCTATAAATCCCTGGCTGAGTCTATAATATCCTATGGGTTGTCCAGTTATGGAAGGACCTCTAAAACACACCTAGACAATATTTTTTCACTCCAGCTACGTATACTAAAAAAAATAGTTCCTATAAAAATAAAAGATACCTTTAAAGATTACCGTAAGCTATTTGCATTTTGTAAAATTTTACCAATTCATGAAAAAGTAGAACTAACTCTTTTATCACAATATTATTTTACTGAAAATCTACAAAAACTACACAAAAATTATTCAATCCGTAGACAAGATAATCTTAGACTACAACTACCTTCTTATAATAACCTGTATGGTAAAAAACGATTAAATTACATAATACCTTATCTAATTAACATTATACCTAATCCTATTAAAGAAAAAATAACATATAAAAATCTAAAAAACATCTTGAAACAATATTTTCTACAAATAATAAACAAAAAATACACATAACAACATTATATCTATCTATATAATATATATGTATGTGTATGTGTGTGTATGTTATATATTATATATGTATATGTATGTATGTGTATGTATGTGTATATATATATATATATATATATATATATATATATGTATGTGTGTATATATATACATATATATATATATATGTTTATGTTTTATAAAATACACATATGTAATAAATATAAACTAACAACACTATATAATAATAATCACAAACCACACTTTATACCATACTTGTTAAAACCGTAATGTTAAAAAACATCCTGTACAATAAAAAAGTATCAATAAATGAAGACAATGCTGCATAGGAACGTCCACAAAAGGTTTTTACATAACTTTATTTTGTGATATACCCGCATGGTGTTTATAAAACGTGTGGCTGTCTTATGATTGTTCCTTAAATATGTATGTATGAAGTGTGTAGCAAATATTGTTATAAATACTTTTAATTTTTATTGTTGTATATCGACGGCGTGGGGTGTACGGTAAAACTCAAAAGAGTTTATGTTTACACCTTATTAATTGTTATACTTCCTACTGTCTATTAAATAAATAAATAAATAAAAAAAAATAAAAAATCTAATTAAAAAACTGAAAAGAAGATATGAAAGAGAACAACTTGCTAAAGCAGTTTCCAATAATAAGCTACTCTGGAAAAACATAAAAAATATAATAAACTCAAATCAATCGAAAAGCCAAAACACAGAATTATTAAATATTAAGCCCATCCCTATCGAATCGAATCGAATTTGTTACGTGGTAGAGCCATGCTGCAGCTATATTATGGTTGTAGCACGAATGGGTCGGCTCAAACGGGGAAGGACCACGCACTCACAGGAAACCAGCGTAAAATAGCAGCTTAAAGCTGCTGTGTATCGTATGGTGAGTTTAGAGAACCGGAGACCCTTTTTACTGCCTAAGAGGCATTCCATCTGTCCTAACGGACGACAACGCATCTGCATCTTGAGTCTTTATTGAGGATAGATGTAGATGTCTATGGGTCACATTAACCACTTACCATCAGATGGACTGTGTGCTCGTTTGTCACCCGATCCTATAAAAAAAAGCAGCAAATTTTGTTAATGAATACTTTGATAATATTGGTAAACAACTTGCTCAACAAATTCCACATATTGCCTTGCATGACTCATGTAACCTTTCTTACGCACTGCCTGCACTGGGAAATTCCTTTACGCTCCTTAACACAGATCATGATGAAGTGGATAGAATATTGATGAGCCTAAAATCTAACAGTACATCTGGTTGGGATATGATACGAGTATCAACAAAGTATTTAAAATTTGTAAGAAATGAAGTTGTTCCTATTATAACTCACCTTGCTAACCTTTGTTTTAATAAAGGGGTATTCCCTGCCCTGTTAAAACAATCTATTATTATACCAATACACAAGGGTGGGGATAGGATGGAAGTGAATAAATATAGGCCTATATCTATTTTACCTAGCATATCAAAAATTTTGGAAAAGCTTATGAATACTAGATTAGTAAAATTTATAAATAAATACAATACTTTGTCTTCTTCCCAATATGGATTTAGAACGGGTAAATCCACAAAAGATGCTGTAACTTCCCTATGCTCGCTAATAATTGAAGAAATTGATAAAAAAAAAATGTTTAACGGTGTTTCTTGATATCAAAAAAGCCTTTGACAGCGTCTCTGTCCCTATTCTTGTGAATAAACTGGAAAAGGTTGGTATAAGAGGAACACCATTAAATCTTTTTAAAAGCTGCCTCATTAATAAGAAACAAAGAGTCAAATTGGAACAGTACTACAGTGAAGATGCAGAAGTAGCATACGGTGTCTCACAGGGAAGTGTATTGGGCCCTACTTTATTTCTTGTATATATCAACGACCTTTGTAGCCTTAAAATGAATAACGCAAAAATATTCTCGTATGCAGATGATACAGCAGTCGTCTTAACTGGAAATTCCTGCCAAGTGAAAAATTGTGAAAAAAATTGTGCCTAAAAAGTAATGGCCCAAATAGCTACTTGGCTAAAATGCAACTTACTCTCGCTAAACACAAATAAAACAAACTATGTTTTAGTGTCTACAATAAAAATCAACCCACTGACAGATTTAGCATAAGGGTTCATGAGACTGGGAGATTTAGCATAAGGGTAGCACCGAGGATGAAAACTGCAACTGCCCGATCATTAATATAGTTACCCATACTAAGTACCGGCGTCATATTGGATCAGAGACTGTCCTGGTACCCACAGCTTGAGCAAGTTTCCGGAAGAGTTAGAAAGTTGATTTGGGTCTTTCGATCATTAAGACATGTGGTTCCACACGAGGTAAAAATTAAAAAAAAATTATGACCGAGAAACATCAAGGAATATATTGAATGAGATATACATCGCCTTGGTTCATTCTGTCTTGGGATATTGCATTCCTGTTTGGAGAGGTGCGGCGAAAACCAAGATTATAGAGGTTGAGAGAGCACAACGTGCGCTTATTAAAGTTATGTACTTTAAAAATATTAGATACCCCACGTAAACGCTATATCTCGATAGTGGGTTACTTTCGGCAAGGAAACTGTATATAAAACAGATCACACTACATAAACACAAAAATATACCCTACGATCCAAGTTAAAAAGGAAATAGAAGAAAAAATAATGTAGCTACAGTACCCCAATCTAAAACTAAGTGTGCTAGTACTCAATACAATAGTCGTTCGGCTCAAATTTATAATAAAATCAATAAACAACTAGATATTTACTCGAAACAATATATCGAATGTAAAAAGGTGGTACATCATTGGTTAGAGTCACTCAATTATGAGAACACTGAGTTGCTTTTACATTCAGTAAAATAGTACACACGCACACGCAAATACACACACACACACACACACACACACACACACACACACACACACACACACACACACACACACACACACACACGAACGCACGAACACACGCACGCACGTGCACGCATGCCTGTACAAATATTATAAACAGAGGGAAATTCTGTAAATACTGTCTTTTAGCCTGTAAGTTATTCTTTGTAATAAAAATTTAATAAGTATATAATATATAGATGTAGATATGGAAGAGCGGAGTTACCTGATACAGGCATTATCTACTTAAAAGGAGACTCCGGCCACTAATGATTGTAAACCAAATCTTTTTACCGAAATAAATTTTATTATTATTATTATATGCCAAGACAAAGTCATAAACAGATCTCCCCGCATGATCGGTTAAAGGTGAACCGAGCCATTTGGCGTGGTGGGCGTTAGAATCGCCAAGGATCACGATCTCTGCGGATGGGACCTGTTGTAGCAAGGAACCTGTAACCATTTGGACGTGGTCGATGAGTCGGTCTGTTTCGGCATTACCGCTATGGGACCTATAGAGGCACCCGTAGACGCGCGGATGTTCGTCGCTGTCTACGCGTAGCCAAAGGATCGACAGGTCCGAATCTTCAAGACTGCCGAAGCATCGAGAACAGATGTCCTCTCTGACGTATACACAAACTCCAGCCCGAGGCACAAAGGAGTGCTCCAATTTGTACCCCGGGTAAGAGAGATACGAAATATCAGCCGGAGAGGAAACCTGCGTCTCGGTCAGAAAGAGCAAGACTTACACACAATCTACACTAATCTACTCACACAAAATCGCACCATTTTTAAAAATCAAAATTCACTTCAAACCATTATTTAAACAATAATACAGGAGCAGCAATCGGCTGCCGGTCAAGATCCCGCCAAAAACTCCGCGTTTTCTCCTCGTCGAAACAAAACACAGACTAAAAAATATTGCGCAATACTGACCCTACACGATGCCATAAAAAAATTTAACTCAATCAAAATTAAACTCGCTCAAACTTTCGTTCAATCACTGCGCAATCTTTAATATTAACCCTATACGGTCAATAATATTGCACAATTCGTAATATTGTGCAATATAATTGACCGTCTAGGGGGCGCCTAAAACCACTTTTTTATGTAAAAAGCAATTGTTCGATTTTATAATAATAATAATAATAGGCTCAGCAATAATTTATCTTTCTAACAGTTTTTTATATCATTTATATGTTCAATATGATTGTTAGATATGATTTCATGCGACAAAAAGTTAGAATCTTGATTTTTAGGCGCTAATAGAAAATACCAATGTGATTTGCGCTTAAGGCATGCAATATAACTTAATAGAATAGTCAATCATTCATCAAAATCCTTGTCGTCTATTTTATAAACTCATAAATGTTAACAGAATTGAAGTATAATGATGATGTGCGTAGTGCAGTAGAAAATTTTAATAAGTCGTGATTACAAAATTACTTTGATAAAATGTAAAATCTGACTTCAAGATGATTATATAATAAAACAATTTTATATTCCGAAGTCGGAGCTAAAACATTCAGAGAATTTAAAGCCGCAACTTCAGACTGTGAAACTATTTTGAAGTCAGGGCAAAGTAATTTTATATTCGAAGTATTCTTTACCTTTTTGAGTGGACGTAGGGATATTACAATTTTAATATCGTCTTATTAGTTAAATTAAAAAAATCACCAAATTCATATGAGGCTACCCCTATGGTATATCCTATTTAATAAAAAATCCTTAAAAACGGTCCTCAACAAATGAACATATCGCGAAACATATATACAAAATAAATACCATCTCATTGTAAGCCTCTTCCTTTTTGAAGTCCAAAACTGTTGACGAGATTTTTTTATAGAATAAGATTTACAAAGGGACACATAGTATACTCGATGGTAAGCGAATCTTATGGCCCATAGACATCTACATTTATCCTCGAGATGTCCTTGTCGCCCACGAGGACCACGGCGGAATGTCTCGTTTCCATTAAAAAGAGTCTCCGGTTCTCTACACTCACCTTACGAAACACAGCTGCATTGATCTGCTATTTATCCTGGTATTCTGCGATAGCGTGGTCCTACCCCGTTCGAGCTGACCTATTCATACTACAACAATAATATAGCTGCA